TCGAAATGAATGTGTTAGTTTTTGTCCATTTGCATATTTGTAATGGTGGTTGCCATTGAAATTAGAAGAAAGTAACCATGAAGAGATTCATTCCTCTATTTTGAAGACCATTATATGAAATTGGTATTCTGTGTATGCTACAGAATTAAGAATGAAGGGAAGAAGGATTTTTTTCGTGAACAGTGTGCCCCAAAACAAGTTGTGCAACCGGCAAAGTACAAAAATACTTAAGTACAAAATTAAACAAAGCATGGATCTGATGCATAGGATAAAGAGACATACAGTTGAATGATAACAATAAGTTTTAATATAGTTGAAACCAAATTTAGAAATAAACATTCAAATAAACTATCCAAGATAAGTTGGTGGTAGATTAAAAAAAAAGTACTTGTCTATATCAAACTGAGGACATTAGCTAAATATAGGCATAATATTAGTTCACAGCAGGGAACAACTTCTGCGACATCAAATCACGGTAATTGACACTTGACAGTGTAGTTCCACGGTCCAACTGTGATCATGAACTGGTAGGAGTTAGAGCTGAAGACTTTGATGAGTTCATCACAATTATCATCATCTTCACCCAAAACGTTAGCCGCAATTTACTAAGATAGGTAGATGGGAACATGACTTCGATTTGAGCAGTGGGATCATCGATAGTTAAATGGATCACATAATACTCACAGGCACTTGGCTATTTTATATTAAGTCCTTAAATTTTCCAGCCATGATGTATGCATTCTCTTATAAAAGATAGAACATGTATATATGAGATCAGGGAAACATAATGGGCCATATTGAATGGAAACCGTAGCTAACTTTGGCGAGAATTGGAAATGTGTACGTTTACCATATTTTTTTCAATGATTAGCTATTTCTCATTAAAAGCACACTTTAATCAAGGCGATCAAAGCTCAAAAAACTTAGGATCGTGTCCTTACAAGCCCATATACATCAAACCAATGAAAGAACAACTATATATTAGCTATACAAATCATAGAAAACTTCTAGCTAAGAAATGAAACTATTTGAGGTATATGGAGCTTACCCCAAACCAATTTCCACCATTCCACTAGATGTTTCTTTACACTGATAGACTTCCGAACTCTTTTAACACTAAAAAGTATCATTGGATGCCCTCCCATGTGACTTGCCCATCAGAGTTGAGTCTCATTCTGAACTGATACCAATACCTGAGTTTGAGCACGCAACGCCAGATTTATGACCTTGAAGACGTTATTAGTACAGTCCAAATGGTTCTGCCTCTTATCATGTATCGAATGATCCGTGCCACCCAAAAACTTCCACTCTTCATTAAGATTAACCACAAAAGACGTGCCACACAAGCTACATTCCAAGTGCTAAGATCTCTCAAATCCAACCCCCTTCTTTCTATGGAACAACCAAAACTTCCCAAAGCAAGAAAATAGACATCAAGAATTTGGTAATAAAATACAACACTGAGAGATAAGTTGAAGCTTGCTAGTATAGGTTAGTTTACTTGCTTTCCATGACCTTATCCTACAAGTAAATCTTTCCACAAGTATGCCACATTCTTTACTTGTAAGCCTCACATAAGTCAAAGGTAACCTTAAATACCTTACAGGTAAGGATTCCTTTATGAATCCTATTTGTTTGCTTTATTTTTTTACATTTGTTTTGCTTTATACCTCTATGAATCCTATAACAGTCAATGCATTGTGCGTGAAATCCCAGGAGCCCCCCCCCCCCCCCCCCCCCCCCAAAAAAAAATGTCACGTTTCATATAGGGTGTCAATGCAAACTAGACAATTCAGAGAAGTTCAGGACCCATTTCACACAACTTACTGTATAGGCAAAGCCGTCTGAAAAAATTATCAAGTCGTCTGCAAAACATAAGTGTGTAAGATCCAGATTTGTACATTGTGGATGATATGGCATCCTACCCTCACTAGCATCATTGTCCAACATTTACAATAGTGAAAAGATATGGAGACATTGGATCTCTTTGTTTAACCCCTTTACTATCTTGAAAAAATCCAAAGAGGCTACCATGTAATGTGGTACTGAAATAAGCCCAAGGCAACATCTGATCGAATTCACAAACACAGCTGGTAAATTCATTATGTTCGTGACACAAAATAGAAAACCTCATTTTCTATGTGCGAAGAGGGACTAGTTCCTATGAAATGAATTGAATGCATTCATGAGATCAATTTTAATCGTACATATAGAAGAAAGTCTTTTTTATTGTAGTTCTGAACTATCTATTGAGATACAAGGATATTCTCCAAAATGCTTCTATCTTTAACAAAAGCATATTGGTTTCGACTAATCAAGTTAGGCAAGACAATCTAAATCCTATTTGCCAGTACCTTCGATATTATTTTGTAAAGGACGTTAATGCAGGTAATAGGTCTAAATGCGACTAGGACAATATTAGGGAGGTGGCATTCATACCTTTAGGAATGTGACGAGTTCTGAAGAAAGATCGAATGCCATTGCAAATATCATTTACAATCCACTGCCAACTTTTCTGAAAGAATTCCACAGTCCATCCGTCATGACCAAGGCTTTGTCTAAAGCCATTGAATATAAAGCAGCACGAACCTCAACATCAGACACTTCAGCTCATACAACAAGACCAGATCCCTGTTTAACTTTTTAGATATATGAGCCTTCAGAAACGCCTCATCAATTCTGACACTATCATCCAGTGCACCAAACAGTTGTTGATAGTAGGTCACGTCCTCCTAAGATATTTGCTCGCTATATGAAAGTGGGGAGAATCGGTTTTCTAATTTGTTTTCTTGTTTTCCTCACCTTTACAGACTTATGTAAGAATCTAGTGTTTGAATCCCCTAGAGCTAACCAATTTATCCTTGACTTCTGCCTATGAAAACTTTCTTCATACTGATTTAGAGATTCAACTCATATACGTGCCTCACTTACTTCCTCAAATATGCTGGTGGATGGTGAATTCAAAGTCTCAGTATGCAAATCTCTGAGGTTTGCTACAGCTTCTCGAACTTGACTAGAGATATCCAAAATGTAGTAAAGTTTTGTAAATTGTCTACCGCTTCTCAAAATTTTGTAAATTTAAATGTATATTTTGTAACAATTTTGAAAAAGAGAACAGGTGGTAAGCCTTTAGCCCCCTCCCAGTTCAAATCATTTGAAAGTCAAATTTAAGCCCCCTCTTTCAGATTTATGGATCCGCTACTGATAATGGGGTAGTTCCAGTTAGAATAAATTAAAAATTAATGGTATTAAATCTGTAAAATAGCCGAAGACAGTACTTCAACAAACACACATGGGAACTCACCAAAATTTAGGGTTGTTTGGTTTTTGTTATAGTTATTGTAGTATTTCAATAAATTATACTAGTTTTTAGTGAAATGTCACTTTTATCCTTTGTTTAATAATCAAAAGTTAGAAGCATAGTTGCAAGAATATTAAACACTCCCAACATCTCATCTAATAGGTGGGATTTCACTATTCCTATTTTGAAATAATTTGCGTCACCTCACATAAACAATGCTTGTATAGTTTGTTTAGGAAAAAAAATAATGCATTAAAAAAAATACAACATTGGAAGAGTTTCAAACTATCAATCAAACCACTTTTTTTTTTTTTTGTCAATAGCTAACTTGCATTACCAAGATGAAATATATAGAGTTTACACTTTACACCATCGAAATCGTCCAAGAGTGAAAATCAAACCACGAAATACTAATAGGACACAATGAAAGAGTTTTCTTAGCCACCGAATGGGCTACCCAATTACTCTGCCTACCAATAAATCGAATAGAAAAATCCTGACATTGGTGCTTCAAGACATTAATCTCCTGCAATATCGCACCGCATTTCGCATCTCTAGTGACATTGGAATGAATTTTATCAATCACTGCCTGCGCGTCGCCTTGAAACCCCACACCTTGGATGTTGTGGGTCAAGCACCACTGTATTGCATCCCGCCAGATACGAACCACCGCCCCACCCGCTCCGTGCGACTGTCAACCAAACCACTCTGAGGTTAGTAATTATTGTTGGCCTGGATTTATAGTATCCATTGACAACTCTGCGGAACTTTTTGTGGGATAGAAGAATAGAAATGCTATCTTTTTCAATGGGTCCGACTTACTTTGAGAGTCTAGACAGCCTTAGAGCATCTCCAATGGTGCAAATGGAGAGAGTTGCAAGCTGAGGTGACGGCCATGTGCAATTGAAAAAGTGGATGGCATTGATGCAAGACCACTTTCAAGTGGTGAAAATTTGCACACCATGAAAATCTGACACACAATTGCAAGTGGGTCATTTGTTTGTCTTTGTTTTTTCCCTTTTTTTTTTCCTAACCATTTGTGTGGTATTAAAATGTAAGTGGGACCCAGAAGTACAATTGCATTGGAATGGCATTGATGTAGCTAGCATGAAATTGATGAGTAAAGTAATTGCTAGAGTTGCTTAGGTGGTAGTAGGAACCACACTTGAAATTGAAGAAAGATTGCATTGTTAGAGATACTCTTAGGGGTCGTTTGGATGGATCAATTGTAAAACGAGACAATTTGACCAATTGTTTCATTTTACAAAACGAGTCATTTAAAACGAGTCAATTCAGATTACCTGCCCCCACCCCAGACAATTGTAATTGGCTCAAAATGAGTCAATTCAGAATTCCCCAGCCCAAATTGCTTCATCCAAATTTTCTGCTGCCAAACGGATCAATCTGGCACAATTGACTCAAAACGAGACAATTGTGTCAGATTGATCCATTAGAATTCCTCATCCAAACGACCCCTTAGGAACACTGAACAAGTTCTCTCTTGGCCTAAGTACGCATGAGATAAGAGATAGTGAGTGAAAAAAGTATGCAGTGTGATTTGACCGAATGGAACTGATTTCAAGTGCTTTTAGGTTGTGAATTTCCATAGCTGGGTATGGCAGGTACAGGATTGGTCGATGTTGAAGGAAACTATGTATGAAATGAAACCTTAGTAGAGGCACCATAAGTGAGACACATATCATCAGAAAAATTAAAATCTTTTTTCAACAATTGGAAGGACTAAAATCTTTGGATGGTTTACAATTTAGAGATTTGGAAGATGAGGAAAGTAAACTAACACCATCATCAATCTGCAGAATTAACATAACGGGTCGGATGCCATCGACCTTTCTTATTCCTATTAACCAACGTGTGTAGTCATAATTTATTACTCTACAATACAGATTATCTGAGCTCTACAATCCAAAGGGGTTGGTTCTATGTTCCACACCAATCCCCAGCCTGCTACGTTTAATTGTGGAGCCCTTTATCAGTCTGACACCACCAGATCATTTCATGAGAATGCATCTAATTGGTGATCCTTCAGCACGGATCAATCTGAGAGGTAGGCAATGTACTGAATATATCCCTGGTTTTATGCCATCGAGCTTTAGCGCTTCCACAAGAATGATTTCCTGCAAGATTTTCCGGGTTATTAAGGAAACTGCAGAGCTTGGACATATGATGACTTAACGTGGCAATAACCCAATTCCCCCAAATGAAGTGTTCATTAGTCTTACCCTGCTGTCCAGAAAAACTAGATGTGAAGGAATCAAATCGGTCCAGGCAGCAACTGACAGATAATCAACTCCTATACATAGGCAAGAAACCAGGTGAGGATTGCAACAGAAGCAAGAACAATGACTATTGTTCACAAAATAGTGCCCAGCACCACAAAAATTGTCAATCCGCATAAATAATAGACAGCGCAGAACTGAAGCTAAGGTCCAATACTCGTATTATTAAGACCAAGTAACTTACCAACAAACTTGATGTCCGTGTTGTCCACCAACCACTGAGCTCCATCCTTGGTAAATCCAACATAGCTCGTGTCAAACTGCTTTTTGAACATAAGCTTCCTGAAACAAGGCAAAATCATCCACTTCGCATTAGAGGGTACAATTCAACATCTTTCCCTAAGAGCAGGAATTAAGAAGAAAGCTTGAGGGTGAAGTATTTAGTTGCATATTACTCCAGAAAGGTTCCCCAAAATTTATTTTTAAAAAAAGGATCACATAAAAATGACAAACAAAACAGACAGACGGATCCACAGTAGCACAGAAAAGCTTTTGGTAGCTTTTGTTACACTTTAAGATACTAGCTGTTGCAACATTACCATAACAGAAGAAAAGGAACAATATTATAAATCGTATGCTATATGGAATCTGTCAACGACCTTCATACAACTAAGAAACTGTTAATCCAATACAGCAATACTTGAGGAACTCAAATATCACGAATATACTGAAGGGAAAGAAAGTACCTATCGGTGTTTAGCGTCCTGAACAGCACACGGCGTACACCCTGGGGTATGTTAAGCGACTTCATAGCTTCAGCTGCAATCAGTAATTGGCCACGGAAACAATGAGAGACAAAACAGAAGGAACAAAGAACCAGCAGGTGTTTAAGTAAAGGACATTAGCTCAGCCTCAATTCTTCTCGGCTTCATATCATACTTACAAATTCAATAAAAAGAGCATAGGGCTTCCTTCCTAGTCAGGGGTGGGCAATGGTAAGGTGCAATCTTAAATTTTATAGAATTTGAATAGCACCATAATGGAAAATTGACGGGACGAGGATCATAATTAAATTGAAAGATGTATTAAGTTCAAATCAAACCAGTTCGGTTTCTTATTTGGTTTGTTTATTTCTTTATACTAAAGGGATCAAATCGAAGAGCAAGCAAAAAAGATTTCAGATTTAAGAGTCCAAACCAAATTGGATTATTCGATGAAATATCACATATTTGTTACTTCCCCCTGATGGATGCCCTTCCTTATTAACCTTTAGATTGATCTGACTAGCAAAATGAGAGGAAGGAGCTACACTTCTATAGCTCGAGCTCAACAGACATGACACAGACCTTAACCATGAAGGAGCAGCCAAGGAGTTCTCTTGGCTTAATTAAGGTCTTGGAGCTCAACATTTGTGCACACAGCAATTGAAATACAGTTTTAAAACCACAATCCTATAATTTGGAATACACCAAACAATGGTCTTAAATTTCCCAATCGTCCAACCAAAACCCTACTCCTCCAACTCGAATACCCAAGAATATCAACAATGAAAGAAATACCGAACCAGCTAAACAATAAAGCCTACCAGTCAGATTAGTATCTCTCGGCACATCAACAAGCAATGCAGGACCTGTCAACGAGCAACAACAACAGCAACAAAACAAAGCAGCTCAAGAAATTTCCCTTCAACCAAAACATGAAAAAATGGACTAGTCAAACAAATCCCAGAAACTCTTCTAACCATTAAGAACTTCCAGGTCGAGAGTGTCCACATCGAAACCAGCATCGAAGTAATGGTCAAAGACATGGCCAGGGGCGTCCACGTGAGTTCCGGTATGGGTAGGGAGCTTCATCTCGGAGTTATTGGCAAGCGACCCATTCTTCATACTCTTGGGCAGCCACAAAAACTGACCCAGCCCATCGTCACTCTCCCACACCGGCATATCGGAAGTGTACCTGTGGGTGATGTCGAATAGCTTCCCATCGTCGTAGACCTCCCGCCGGACAGGGATTAGGTCGTCGGATGGAGCGGCGGAGACGGAGGTGTCCACCGTGCCGGGGATGATCGGGTATGCGGCGGACGAGCCGGCGGCGAGCGGGGAGAAGGAAGAGGTGAGGAGGAAGAAAGCAAGAAAGAGAGAGGGAAAAGTCATGGCGATGGAATTGGGATGTTGCTGGATTTCTCTGTGGCAGCAGTTGCACAAGGATCTAGTAATCACTAATCAGAGAGAGCCGTAAAGAGTTTGGATTTGGCCTCTAGAGAGTTGAGAGTTGACGACATTTGCTAATTGTCGTGATTTCGATTTTAGACCAGAAAAGAAAAAGAAGGAAATTCATCATAATTTCGTCGGCTTCTAAAAGGCCAACCTGATGGCTGATTATAGAGATTGGGCCCTTCTACCTGAGCCAATAGGCTTGGGTCCCTGGGCATCTGAATGGATCTCGTAACTGTCGGGCTTTTAGGGGATGGTTTGCATAATATATTTGGATTTTGGATGGACTAATATCAAGTTTAGAGGTTGATATGTAGAATGAGTTTATCTACTATCAATACTAATTTTGGGCCCGCCCGTTGGCCGAATAATTAACATCGACAGATTAGTTAATGCCCGAATCAAGCCACGTTGTTATTTGTTATTGTGAAAGAATCCAAATTATTTTTTTAATGGTTAGAATCCAAATTATTCAATTACACAAATATAAAAAGGGAATGTACATGATAAGTTTTCTGGCATCTTGATCATTAAAAAATACAACTCATGTAGGGAATCGATCCTAAAAAATAGTAATCAACGCAATTCAATTTACTCCTCAATGCAAGAAATTGCTTCAAATTTTCTTTTGGATTTTTTATTGCTCCGCCATCAAAAGCATTATCTTCTCCATGCGGCTTCATCTTCACTAATGAATCTTCATATTCACAATGCATTAATAGTCCCTTCCTTTCTCATGCATTTCATGAAAAACAAACTTTAATTGTAAAATGTTTTGCAAATATGATAAGATCATTTTTCAAACTACTAAAATTTACCTTATTCAAATGATAAATATTATCAATGATCGCTCTTTCTTGCAATCATTGAAACTTTTATATCTACATCAATAACCTATTTGTTCTTCTCAACGACGTCATTATCTTCATTATAGAATCAACTACCTCCACCAATAGCATACTTTTTATTCTTCTCCAGCATTTCACTAACAGCAAAATTTAAGTGCTAAATTTTTTAGAATTGTGAAATACCATTTTCTAGAAGTTAAATTTCATAATCAATCGATATGAAACCATCAACTAAATTTGTCAAAGTATAGTTGAACCAATTTGTGTGTGCAAAGAAGATTGAAATCCACAAATTTAGCAGGAAAATGGTTCGTTCCCCTGCTTAAGTTTTACAAACACAACTTATGCTTTGAGATTTAGAGAACTGTGTTTTGAAAAAAATGATTGAGTATTTGATTGAGAAACTATTAAAATACTTTTTTAGTATAATAGGATAGTAAAATAATAAAAATATTTCAAATATATATATATATATAAATTAAATATGATAAAATAATAGTCACAATTTTGTTTTCTAATTCATTTAAATATAAAATAATATAAATGAAAGAAAGAAAAATATATTTCCTAGAAAAAATGGTCAGAGTTAGGGGTGGAAATTGGTACGGTATCGGTATCCCAATACCAAATACCGAAATCCCGAATACCGAATTACACCCTAAAGTCAATCCCAATCCCAATCCCTAAATAATTTCGGTATCCCAATCCCAATCCCTAAATATACCGGTATCCCAATCGGTACTTCGGTATCCCAATCGGTATTATCGAATACGAAATTAATTACCTTTACAATTAATAATTAATTATATTTTATTGTTTAATTTAGGGAAAAAAGACTAAGCAAAGAGTCTTGAATTAGGATATTATTAAGGAGAATGGAGGAGATGAGACATCTCAAGTTCTTGTCATTATTAATCTTTAATTTGACGAATTGGAGGTTGACAGACGACTATTAATAGTGATGGAATGATCTATGTATAATTAAATGGCACTTTTGGTGGTCGAGGGTCGTGTAGTAGTGAATGAGAGAGTTTAGTTGAGAGGATAAAATACACACTAGCTTATATTTCGGTATTGATCGGTATTTCGGTATAATACCGATCCCAATCCCGTAATCCCTAATACCGAATAACAAATGAAATTCAATCCCAATCCCAATCCCAAAAAATAATTCGTGTATTCGGTAATACCAAATATAGACAAATTCGGTACGGTATTCGGTATATCCCAAATACCAGTACCAAACTTCCAGCCCTAGTCAGAGTAATGTTGTACTTTCAGAAAATTATCTCGTTGAGACTCCAAATCAAAAATTCTACTTTCACTTTATAATAACCACTTTCTAACTTTCTAAAAAGCCCAGATTTGGAGAGATTTCTGTCCGGCTTTAACTTTTAAAGCAGAAAAATACTTTAAAAACTCGAGCTAAACATAGGCATGCATGTCACATATCTTTGGAATTATGCACTTGATATACTTTCAACAAATGTGAAATATCATGTGCATTCACTCTGTCGTATTAACATAGGAAAGAAACTCCATATATTAGTAGGAACAATGCAGTCAAAATTGTGATTCTAAGTAGAAACGTTTTGGTGATTTAGAAGTGTAAAAACGTAAGATTTTAAACTTTAAAGCATACATTTTGACTATACTTATAACTAAAAAACGTGATCATACGTAGAAGCGTTTTGGTGACCTAGAAGTATAAAAGCGTAAGTTTCTAAATCTTATAAAGAGATTTTGTCTGCATTGTGTAGGATAATATATGTTCTTTGTTTTATTTATAACAAAAATATTTTACTTAAGAGATTCGAGCAAAAATATGTTCCTTGCAAGTTGCAATTGTCAAGAAAGGTGATGTGAATTATTTGTTAGATAGTTAAGGCCACGGTTTGTCTACTTTATATTCACATTTACACGAATGGCATCCAGTATCAAACACCTCAATAATGTACACAATTGCAATTTAAATACATGAAAATTTTGATAAAGTAATCTAAAATTAATTGAACAAAGAAACATGAAAAATTTTAGCGATAAAAATAGTGATTTTAGCATGTTTGATTAAACTTAACAGTATGTTTTGTACTTTCTTTAGATTTTTAATTACTCATCTCGTATTGAAACAATCTATATAAATTAATAAATTCAGCAATATCAGCAACTAACATAAAATTTGATCACTTATAGATTAAAAATAAATTAATTATAAATTTATAGTAAGGTCAATTCTCTTTAAGCAACCTTTTTTTCCTCAAAATATATCAAAATGAATAAAGGTAATCTAAAATCAATTGAAGAAGGAAAAATGAAACATTTTAGCTATAAACATAGTGATTTTAGCATTTTTTTTATGAATGAGTGAAATCTTATTTCATCAAATACAATCTGTACACTATTCCACAAGGTACAAAACTCTCAACCTAACACCACAGTTGATACAAGCAGACAATGAAAAGGAACTCAGCAGCAATATCAGCAACTAACATAAAATTTGATCACTTATAGATTAAAAAAAATAATTATAAATTTATAGTAAGGTCAATTCTCTTAAAGAAATTTTTTCCCTTAAAACATATCAAAATATATGTCATTTTGTAGAGTTTAACTAATTTGCTTTTTCTGTATATAAAAAAATAAACTATGAGTTAAAATAAATGAAATACGATCAATTAAAAATCCTCTCAATAATATATGAAGTTGGTCCGGCTTACCCATCAAAAAAAAAAAAAAAGAAGTTGGTCCGGCTCAATCCTAATTCTATTGCGTCGCTCATTATGATAATATTCTTTTATTAACTCAATATTTTAATATTATTAATAAAATAATTTATGTTTTAATTATTGGAAAAAAAAACCCTTTTAGTATAAGAAGGTTGTAACCCGTTGCTTTATTTAAGAGAATATATATATATATATATATATATATATATTTAATTAATGGAAAAACCCTTTTAGAATAAAAATGTTGAAACACGTTGGTTTTCTTTAGGAAAAAAAATATAAAAATAAATTTAAATTATTTGATTTGAAAAGACAAAAAATTTCTTCCTAAAATTACTCAGAAGCCTCGAATTTTAGAATGAAGTGGGTTGTCTGCTGTTAGGGAACCTCCATAATATGATGGGAGGATATCATATATGTATTGGTTGAATATACCTATTTCAAAAATTGAATTTTTAAAAGTTTGAGATTATATCAACCATACTGAGGTGTATCGAAAAAGTTATTGATGGGTATTTTATGGTAAAATTGTGATCTAAGCGTAGTTAAATTGTTGCTATGTAGTACATATCGCGTACCAATTTAGACTCCCATAAAGTATTTTCTGATCGAACCCCTTATATGAATTTTATAAAGTAATTTATTCTTTTAAAAGAAAAAAGGATAAATACTAGTTCAGCTCGACAAAGTTAAAAATTTGTCACCTTCAACTCGACCGGTTGGCTAACGGTTTGAACAGTTAACCGCTCAAACTGATCATGCGGTTCTGAGCAACAACCCGTCCAATTGAAAGAATTAATCACTGGAGAAAGCTTATGCTTGTCGCGACCGTCCTGCCCACTATAACCATCGTCCAACTGCCGTTGAAAATTTAATCGCAGACAAGAAAGGAGAAATAATGGAGAATATATACTATAGAGGAAGGGATCTGAAGATCCTAGGTAAATTCCACAAATATTGTCTTTTTTTTTTTAATTTACCATCAATATGGCGGTTTAAAAAGTATTGACACAGTTATTGTGTTTTGGGGAGCAAAATCGACGAGACTGCCTGAGACTCAGGCGCTGCCGCTATTTCTGTTTTTTTAATCAATTTGATTAAGGTGAGAGTGGGGGCGCCCAAGACTAAGGCGGTACCGCCATTCCTAAAGGTTTTTCAGAATGTCCAAAAAGGTTGACCGGCGGTGGCGCCAGAGACTGAGGCGAGTTGGTGGGAAATTGTACCCAGCGATGGCGCCCAGGACTAAGACGGGTCCGTTGGTGTACTGCGGGCCTTTACCCTGTAAAACCAGTGAATTTCCTTTCAGTTGCTCACCGCAAAAAAAAATCGACGAAGTTAGATGAGAGAAGCTCTGGTTGCTGCAAAGATGGCTAATAGGTAAGAGACACATTTATTTTTTTTAATTATATTCTTCAAATGCTATTGTAGACACCACTTTTTGTCCGGGTTAAAACATCTATAATTAAATAAAATTTGCAATAACAAATCTTGAATAAGCTTGAAGCTTTGTGTTTGATGTGGGTCGTGTTTGCCATGACATGGCGAGATT